AAATATAAAATTTACTTACATGTGCTGCTTTTTTTATCTGTATGTATTATACATTAAAAAAATATTCTCTTACAAAACTGACCCATACATAAAGATTATGTCAAGTCTGTTTTCCTCCAAGTCTGCAGGTATTTTTCCTGTATACATGCTAACTATTTTCTTTTAAATGAATCTATATGATTATATTTCATTATAGTAAGGACAACTTCCAAATGTGGAATATCCAAAGCAGAGCAATCTTGTGAAACCTGCAGAGCATCTTTGATGCCACTGCTGGTCTTGGGACAACACACTTAGCTACCAGTGAGCTACCAAGAGGAATAAGATGCTTACAATCACCTTTATGTTTCAGCTACATAAGATGCACAGTTCCTCTTTAACCTTCTGGGAACTCTTATAGATTTCATTCCAAAATAGAAGCAAAGACTAAAAAACTGTGCCACTGAACTTGCATAATCCTTTACTCAAAGGACAACTTTTGTGGACAGAGACCCTGGACAAACTAAGAAATGAGTTCTGCCAGACAACCCAGGAAACAAGCAATGGATGATCTGAAGGTGCAACTAATACAGGATGGAGGATAACAGTTCACAAGTGGAAAAGACCAAACTGGAATAAAAATCAGGACACTCCTGAGGACTCTGACCTTAGTCCGAAAGTGATTCAGAGAGGCCAGGAAATGAAAGCAGGCAAGCACACATGGGAATTAGTTTGTTTTCTCTGGATGCCTGCCTGAAGTCAAGAACACCCGACTGACGGAACTTGCTGCAAAAGGCTCTACATAAAACATTTCAGTGGTCATACCTCCTTGGAAAGGAGCAGGTTAAATCAGCGGGGCCACGTGGCTGGAGGTTAGGAAAAAGACGTGCATGAGCAGCAGCCTCTCGTGACATGAGGTCAACACCCGTCCCAGGAGACAAGGCCACCTGCACTTGCTGGGTTAACGGTTGGACTCGACGAACTTATGGGTCTTTTCCAACCTGAATGATTGTATGACTTCTGCTTGTGATGGGATCTGACCCACGATGCATACACACAGGGCTTCCCACTTCTTACAGTACTGTATATACTAATAAACCAGTACCTTCCAATAAGCAATTCTTGCTTCTAATGACCTACCTGTCTTTTTACCCTGCTCTCATTAGTGACATCTGTTGCCAAAGTGGAAGCAACCACCTCCGAACACAACAGAGGAAGTGATTTATAGAACACCATTTTATGTTTCTATGCCCTCTCTCCCTATAATACATCTCTGCAGCTCATTCAAATTCCTGAAATATGTTTAGCACCTCACAGGTTTTCCTCCTTATCTTCTTTTTTGAAGTTTGTGTGAACAGTCCATGGAGTCTGCACCCAAGATTTATTGTCAACCCTGCCGATAACGACCATATGGGTAACATAAATGAGAATTACAAATTCTTCCATTTCTATGCAAATGTTAACATGATATGTTCCAATAACCTATGAGAAAGTTGTCAAATTACACAATGTAAAACATTCATTTTCCATAATATCTTGCATATAGGACAACAGACCATATACAGTGTAATAGAAAATAACACTACAAAATGTTTAAAACTATAGGATACTGGTAGGTTTACTCAAACTACTTTAAGTGACCATGCAAGAGAAACATCCCAGCTCTACCACTTTACAACAACGATTACACTAGCCCCAGAGAGACAGCTACATGAAAAAAGAGAATGAAGTTTACATGTCAGGAACATGGTGATGAAGTCTGCTTTGAAAGCAAATGTTGCTTTTTTAGAAGCTATAATGCACCACAAGCTCAAAAGAAATTCTTCACAATGGGGAAATGCTTATCAATAACAGACAATCACAGTATACAAACTGTGATAAAATGAGAAGTTGAACTATCTGGAGGTGCTTTAAAAGGAAAGTGAGCAATCTACACAAGAGTCAGCTTCAATAGTTTTGGTCCTTTACAAATTACACCTTCTTCACCTCCATAATGTAATATAACGTGCAGGCTCAGAATTTCAGGCATTCATCATGGAAAAGAAAACCCTCCATCCTACACTTCACAAAAATCAAGCCAAACGGACAGTACATTACATGGTCCTGATTGACGTAAACTGATTTTGAGTTATACTATCTTCACTAGATTATTACAATTATTATTGCACCTTCAACCAGAGCTACCAATATTTTTGTTTCACTCTCTAGGAAATACTGGCATGCTATAAAGAAAACCAGACAGAAGCCCAAAATGCATAGCTAATATTGAAGTGGTTAATCTTAATTTTAGTTCATCTTAATTACGACCATCTTTCACAATCACAACATTATGCAAGGAGGAAAAATAAAGCTCACATACCATCACAGTCTGGCTCTGCAGGCCCGCAGGCCACATCTGGTACACTCAAAACTTCAGCAGCTCTTTGGGTGATGTAATTATTAGCACAGGTGGGGAAGGCGTTGAGAATAGGTGCTGAGGCTTCTGGAGGAGTGGATTCAGTTGTTTATTTATGTCAGGTAGTGACTACAAACACTGCTTAACAGTTTTGTAGAGCCACATGTGCACACTGGCAACAGGTGCAAAGTAAAAGCTAAAATTTAATCACTATGGTAGCACACAAAAACATAAATCCCACAATATTTACGATTTGAGCGTTTCCAAAGGGAGATAACCTAGGTCATTCTTCTTCCTACAAATTCAGAGGCTCCAAGACTTTGGAAAGCAGTCACTGGAGCCATTAAAATGAAATCTTACACTTCATCTCACACCATCCTGGAAAAAACACATTAAAGTGGAATCCTAGATGGATGTATTCACCCTTCCCAGTTGTGAGTAATTATATTTCTGTTTGGAGAGGATACAGCAGCCTGCTGTAAACCATCCAATCTGCTGCTTTGTCCTCATTACTAACCTTTAAATAAATTGACTTTCACTTTAACACATAAGAAAACAGTGATTTCCAATGTTTCAGCAGGTCGAGAAGAGGAATACGCTTTGAAAAACATCCTGCCAAGCTGTTATTTCTTCCCCCTTTACACGCAATGACCAACCTCTACGTTCATGAAAGGATGTCGTGACCAGTTTCTATCAGTGACTTTCACACTGCCCTCATAACTAATTCTGTACATGCTTAACGTGCATCACCTCTACCCATGGCCACTCCACTCATCAACAGTCAAAGGCAGAAAAACCACTCCCACCCAAGCAAGCGAGGGGGACGACTCATTCTACAAATAGGCCACTGGGAATTTTTGCTTACTTCATCAGATCCACCGATTGTTCACTAATAATAAACAAGGATTAAGACTGTGAATAGGAATCTAACTCAATCATTCCTCCACAACGCTCTGGGTGACTTCTAACGAGATCCACAGTGCTCAGAGGTATATTTGCATGTGTAATGTAAAGTAGCATGTATATAAATATAGGAGTTTTGGATAAATAAAACTACACGCACAAATACACTTTTTAATTTGGTGCAACAGACCACATTCCTCAGCAAATAAACACAGCTCATTTCTAATGCTTTTACTGCAAGCCATATACCCCTCAAGGACTCTCTTTACTCCCAGGATTTATTCCTAAAACAACTCTCGTTATTAACAGGCATAGTTTATTAGTGTGCACCAGCAACAGGGTTTTTTGAAAGAGCTCTATTTGCTAAGGTCCCTTTGACCTCTGTGGTGATAAAACTCCGTAGGAAGCTATCAATCAATTATCTTTTCCTTAAATGAAGGCTCGCAAGGTGGTGTGCTATTGGTAGCAGCTTCTGCTGATTGAAACCTCTTAAATGCAAAAAGAACTATTACAAAAATCCTGCTTTTGAAACGTAAGTTTAAATGATGGATTTCTATTAGACGAGACAGTTTTGAATAACTGACACCAAAAAGAGAGGGTCATTCTCAGCACCAGAACACAAATATTTGAGCCATATCCAGCAGATTTCCATGGAACGGTTCTCTCTGCTGCTTCTAGGGCAGTCAGGTCTTTTTTTCACTCAGTAGTTGTTTCATTATATAGTCAAGATGAGTTCCAACAGAAATAGAAGTTCATTAGATATGACTTAGAGGCTGATTCAAGTGACCAGGTCCAGAGCAATATGGTTTGTAGTGCAAAAATAAAAGTCGTTCTAGAAGTGGCCAAAAGTGACAGGATATTACAAAAAGCTTTAGCCAAGAGTTTTCAGCAACCATCTGTAAAATGGAAGAGACTTTTCCAATGTGTTTGGCCTCAGGGGTAAATGACATACCTGTTCTACAGCCGCTTTCATATAAACAGCACCATACGCTCAGAAGCTCTATGACCTTAATCACCTTTTGTCCAAAGACAAGGTTACCTTTATTATTTAGAAGATCCATCAGTCATGCTACGAAGCATCCCTTTTAAACAAGACTATTACCTAAGATGGGCTGAGAGCTAACAGAACACAGCTCAACTCGCCCTGACAAGGCACAGTGTGGTATGCAACAGCTAGCCTTGAAGCAGCAAGTAGTCATCTTCTGGTTGCCATGTGTTAACCAAATGTCTCTTCTTAATTCCCAGTTATACTCACTGTCTTTTAGTTCCAGAAAGTCATAGATACTCATGGGATGACTATTACATGCTGGGTAACATTAAGATTTCTTTAGTACCAGAAAACCTGTCAAAAATTTAAGTAGCATTTTAAAGCCAGCGTCTAACAATTAGCAGCAAGAAAAATTGAGTCCTGCATGAATACAGAGAGAATCTTAGACTCCTAATTTCCTAAAGCTTCGTTCCTGGTTTTGCTGCTAAGTGATAGCTTTGGTGTGCATGTAGAATATGAAATATATAAATATATATATATAATATTTAAAAAACATGTGTAATATAAATATATATATATATATGAATTAACATGTTCTCTAAAGTAAGTGCAGCATAGAAGCCATTCAGCCTGAAATTCCACAGACATCTCAAATGAAATAAAAATTCCCATTTCCCCACTGCTTTTTCCCCCACTGTTTCCATGTTCTTACTCTGCCAAGCAGCATGTCTGACGAAAGGGCCTAATTCAAATACAGAAGAAGCAAGATGAAAATCAAGTGGAAGACAAATAGCTCATAATGCTGTGAAACCACGTAAGACTAGGCCTGGAAAGAAAGAGAAGCTGTGGCTAGGAGCGTGAGGATAAAGAGAGCAGGACTAGGAGCCAGGGTAAGTGAGCACAACAGGAACAAAGCAGAAAAGGAGAAGAGGTTAATCCTCAGGGCAGAAAAGAATGGGTGACATGTGAGGTACTGGCGTATCAACCATTGCTTGAGAGATGCTGCTTCAAATTGTTTCACTTGTATTATATTTACAAAAAGCTAAAGACAGATGCTGAAGATTTATTAATTACGCAGCAGAGACTACAAACTATGATTCAATCCTCTTCACGTGCATAAAGACATGAACTGTTTCCCTTATTTTAATACACTTGTTTCACTGCCACAAGACTTAAATGGAGTTACAGTAGTTTAAACCTGAGTCAATCCCTGGAAATAAAGGCATTACCCTGCTGTGAAACTACAGTGAGGACAGGATGATCAACCCCAGACCATTATATTCACTTCAGGCTGGAATGTCCTCTAAATCATTGTGTGCAGCTATCTTAGCACTCCAGCTCTAAAAATTCATTGTGAACATTTTCATTTCGTTCCTCTCTTCCGCAGTCTTAAGAAGATGACCATTTGTCATGCACTGGTCTAAAGCGTGAGTTTTCATCACCTAAAAACTAAGCAGCGTCTACTGTTACGCAAGCAAGTAGAGGAAAAGCATGTCATCTAGATTTAAGGTAATAAACCCACATGCCTTGGCATCACTCCCAAAAGCACTTAAGACGGGAAATGAAACTTTACTGCCCCAGTGTATTATTGTGGTGCCCAAGAGCACTACGATAGTTTGGGATGAGGCTCAGAATTTCCATTAGAGACCCAATTTGCAGGAAGTTTAACTTGGCCATGAACATTTGCTTCAGGCTAAAAACTATTTTATAAGCTCTCCCTGCAAGTGCCAATAATTTTAAAAGTTTGGTTGGATTTCACTCAAAGAATAGCTATAAATTTGTCATCTCATGTAGAAGACACGATGATGTCAGTGGCCCATAGACTCTCAACGGAGAGTCTTGCTAGACTTGGGATCCTGCCTCATTTTTCCTAGCCTGAGCTGCTTTATGTTAATTTATTGAAGTCCCACTCTTCAAACATTTAGCCACATGGCTCCATAATTCCCCAAATTGCCTCAGGTCATCAAGAAGCAGCAGATGCAGACACAATGGTATCACAAGTAACAGCTACTGTTCAGAGGCAACCAGTGAGTTACTGTGCTGCCCTACCATCATCCAGCTGCAAAACACAAGCCCAGACACAACACTGGACTCATTTTCTTTCCAAAACAGTACCTTCTATTAATGAAATGATGGATGAAAAAAAAAAAAACAAACCAAAAAAAAACCCAAAACCAACAACAAAACCAACAAAACCAAACCCAAAACAAAACCAAAAACACCCCACACAATCTACCAGGAACCTTTCCAGGCAAGATTTGGAGGAATAAACAGAAAACTTTGAGCAAATAAATATTTTTTCTGAAGCACCCAACATATCAATACACAGAAATAAAATCTGGAAAATGAAGTAAACAGAGTAGATTTTTTTTTTTGTCCAAGTTCAGAGGATTAAAAAAAAAAAAAACCCAAACAAAACCAAATCAAAACAAACTCCCCCAAAAATCCCACACAAGCAGAGAAGCATCTATTTTACAGCCCTAAAACTTGTCATCTACCTACCTTTCAATCCTCCATTCCTTTCAGGCAGACTCCCAAATCATTCTAACATGCAACACTTTCAGTGTTCACCTTCCCACATCTATACTACTAACCGCATTATCTGGCTGGCACTTGCTGTCTTTGGTGGGCCTCTGCGTTGTCCTAAGCATGGATTCCTCAGAATCTGCGGACTGAAAAGAAATTAATTGCTTTAGATTTAGTGTGCTGAGAAGCAAGCTACTGACCTGATCAACCTGAAAAGGGAAATGAGCAGAGAGTAGAACTGAGCACGGTATTCTCCTCCATCTACGTGCCCTCTTTACCTTGCCTCCCCCATGTAGGAGACCAACCAAGCAAAACTGACAGCTAAGCACTGTTCTGAGTAATACCAGGAAAGTACAGATCCTTAAGGCCAGCAGGCAGGTACCGACAGAAGTGCTTTCTCACATCTAACAAAACTAAACTATCCCCTAACAGAAGCAGCTCTGATGACCATTAGTCCTGAATTTCTACCATGAACCAGCACACAACAGAACAGAAAAGGAGAACAGGAAATATTTAGAGGAGGAAGAGAGAAGATAAAAAGAATAATAAATGAAAGGCAATGAAGAGATGGCTCTTAGGACAGTTTAGGACTTCCCACTGAGAAGGTCTGAAGTATGGGGAAACAGTGGATGTGTACCTTCTCAAAGATGCAACATGGTGTGCAGAGTCCACTGCAAATACAGCACCCCTGCAAGAATCTAGATTGGCTTCCCAACAGTTCTTTCAAGAAAAAAAAGAAAAAAAAAAAAAGGCATGAAGCAAATAGCTTCATCTAGAAAGTCACAAAAAAATAAAAAAAACAGATGTACAACTCCATCCTGTGTGTCTTGCTACAGAAGTAGTAAGCTCAAGAGAGAAATTAATGACTAGTTATAGCCCAAAGGAACTCTCTTCAGCCCCATCTTCCCCAAAAGCTGGCTATGGCTGCAACAACAGCATGCCATCACTGGGAAGACACAGGAGGATACAAGTACACAGTTCCAACAGTCGCTGCCTCCCCTCTCTGCCAAAAGAAATGTGATCAGAATTCAGACGTGCGGAGTTCAGAAAAGAAACTGCCTGTTAGATGTTCAGGAAGCACAGCTGAGTGAGTCTGATGGCTCAAGTCAAGGTATATCACGACAGAGACATGAAGTTACACACACAGCCTCAGTAACACTCTTACCAGATCAAATCCACACTGACACTTTCACTTCATGAGAGTAATTGCTGTTAAAGAAAGCATCTAGTTGTTAAATGAGCAGAAAATGAACACATGCCAGGTCATCATAATAAACATTTAGTCCCTACCACAGTATGCCAAAAGTTACTGTTCTCTGAAGTAAGATTTCAATTACCTTTTTCTCTGCTTTATCCTTCCCATGTTCTCTTAAGTGTTCCCCATCTTTTTCTCTGTCTCTGTGTCTATCCCTTTCCCGATCTTTTCCTCTATCTCTGTCTTTCTCTCGTTCTCTGTCCCTAGCCTTATCTTTGTCTCTTCCTTTCAGTCTGTCTTTTTCTCTGCCACCTTCATTTTTCTTCTCTCTTTCCTGCCCTTTATCACGCTTGAGATCATCTTCTTGTTCTATGTCTCCTTTTCCTTTGTTTTTTTCTGTTTCTCTTCCTTGTTTGGTTGTTCTGCTTCTGTTTCTTTCCCTTTCTTGTTTTTCTCCTTCCTTAAAGGAATCTCTTTCATGGTCTTTGTGTCTTTCTTCATTATCCTTCTGTTTATCACTTTCCTTTGCTCTTCCTTCACTCTCTTTCAAATCTCCTTTGTGTTTTCTGTCTCTGCTTGAGCTTCTGTCTTTAATATCAGTCTCTCCTCTACCCTAAAAAGAAAGTAAAAACTAAAAATTAATTCCAATACATGGCAACTCTTTCATGTCTTTCACAGACAAAAATGCAAGCTAAAAAACCCCCACCCAATAAACCCTAAAGAGAAATAGCCCCTCTACCCCACAAAGTTGCAAATGCCTACCTCTTTATGGCTTTTGTGTTCTTCTGTTTTGGATTCTCTGCTTTCTTTATCTCGAGATTTAGAGGACGGAGGTTTCCCTTTAGCGTCAGCTCTTTCCCCAGCTAAGATCCTTTTCACGGCAACATCACTGGACAGCTGCAAGGAATAAGTAAATTATTTTATTAAATACCTCCTTTCTTCCTAACTCTGTAATCAACATGACTTGGGAAGGTTTTGTTGGGGGTTTTTTTGTTTGTTTTGGTTTGTTTTTAATAAAACATTTCTGCTCTTTTGGAAACATTCTTTCATGTAGTAATGATGCTCTTTTATGTCAAACACCTCCTTGCAATTCTTGTAATAATTTGATGACACGTGCCAGAGCTATGTAACTATGTGGTGCTTTTTATGTACTACAGCACAATAGCAATTCTCATTGCAACCGCCTGAACATTTTTCAAAATGGTAAAGTAAATGACTCTCAAAACCTTGTATCGACCGCTAGATCGGTTAAACACTCTTAAAACCATATTATGTTGTATTTGCACCCACTTTTAGGCCACTCCACTTTCACCTAATACTTGCTCAATCAGCAACAGTCACTAAAGAAAACTACATTAAGAATGACTTCCAATAAGTTGCAGTTACAGTGTTTAAAAAGCTTCTGCATCTAGTTAATTTGTTAAGGTGACGAGCAATTCCTGATTAGATCATTCAGACAGCAAGTTAACATCATGTTTTCAGGTCCAAGTGGCAAAGAGTTTGACTACATTAACAAATAAAAAGGAAAAATAAAAAAATCATTTCATTGCCAGGGAACTCTCCTTCCTGAAACAGGAACAGCTTTTAGATCACTGAAACTGATATTGCCCTGGGGGTTAACTCCTGATTCTCTCCTGGTTTGTAAATGCAAAACTATGCATTTTTGTGGGTTTTCACATTTGGACACAAACTTCTGCACATTAGCCACATTTGCCTAAACTGTCTAACTCCCAGCAGCATGCTCAGCACTAGAAGCATCAAGCTAGAGACTGAAGGAAATCTTTTTCCACAATGCACATCAAGCATAATAAAAGGCAAGGGGCTAATTATCTTAGCTCAAATGGGTAGATTACATCCTCTGGATATTAAATCCTATCACAACATTCTACAAAGGTGTTCCGTCAAGCACATTTTCCTAACACGTGCAGTGTCTGTTTATCAATTCCCCCCTTCCTGACCTCAAGCAATTCATAAGGAAGCAGCTCATACCACTCTGCTAATTAAAACAAAATAACATAAATTTTAAATTAGTAGATTATCAAACATAATCCAAAATACACTTGCAGACAGACTGTAAACACTGTAGTATTTCACAGTTAAAATACATACAATTTCTTCACACTCATTAATTCAAGGGTTTTAGATAATACCTTTGTGTTTCAAAAATCTCAGTAACACCTATAAGCAAAGAATCCCCATGACTTTCAATTAAACAATTATTTTAGGAACGCAACAGCTATTTTAAGACCTACCCCTGCAGTTATTTTTAACAGGTTATCAAATTTCTCTTTTACTGCAGTTCCATACTCAAAAAAGGAAAAAAAAAGTATTCATTACAGAATTAGAAATGTGACTAAAATTTTAAAAGACAAAGTCAAAGGTGGCAGCATCTTGGCATATAATTAATGTGTTTGCATCCAAACGTTTTTGAAGTTCTGAAGCTTCGTATTCTTCTTCAAACCTAACAAATGTCATTAAATGACCAATGAATATGCAAAAAATAAAAACCAGTATAGATTAAAAGCATTAAAATATCCAGAACGTATTTGTGTGGGGGCCTGGCTCAAACTCTACTAAGGATCACACACTGTCCCCATGCTGTTGTTAATAATAATATCATTATAAAATGGTGACCCAACATTTATCTTGTGTAATTAAAGACAGAAGACGAGTTTCAATAAAGTCTGTTGCAAATAAGCTCTGATGTCATTATGTGTATAAAATAGATACTTGATGCCATACCTTATTTAGGCAACATTTCCCAATTGCTTGAAGAAATTCATTGGTTTTCTCAGGTTCGTGTCCGGCCACAACACGCGCTGGCTTTACTGACAGCGGCTCTCCTGTGACCATTACGACAGCATCAATCGCCTTCTGAAGGAAGCTGATTTTGGCATCTTTATCCTGGTAAAAGAGCGATTGAGAAACAATACTGAGACTCCAAAATAATGTGACACACCACCTCAAGAGCAGAAAAACTCCGATGGGAGGAACAGTTGCAGAAAGGATTCATACACCAAGAGCAGCCTGTGATTTGCAAGGTCAGGAAAGAGATTTATAGTTAGCCGATTTATAATTAGCTATTTATTTCTTATTAAGGAATGACAGCCTTGATAATGGATTAATATGGAACTGGAATGACCAAAGTGAAAAAGTGTAACTTTGCCTTTTTAATATGTTTATCACTTAGCTCCAGTGCATTTTAAGACTGCTATCAGACCCTTGGCACTCCATTTTCAAGCATTACATATTAAAGAAGATAAACGCTTTGTTTAAGAAATGATCACAAATATAACCAAAAGAATCACTGAAGATCTGTAACACCAGATACTGCTCAGAAAGACAGTTCTTGCCCTGAATATTTTTCAGCACAGATATCGCAGTTATGAAACTTAGAGGAGTCCAAATCGAGGGACTCACATACTTGTACACATACTTTACAAACCAGACTTAACAGTGAGTAAAGAAAACATACGGAAGGTGGTGGGAAAGGGATACAGGCACGTAGTTTTATCTCCACAATTACCAGATGTGCTTTAGTTTTATAATTATATTTTACAAACAACTTTCCCCAAGTGCCCTTCAGTAGAGATGATGGCTTTTGGTGATTATGCAAAATCGTAAAAAAAAACTAAAGACAAAATAAACCAACTCTCACCAAGTAAAATTTTAATCGGGGGTGTTCCTGACCCAGAAAATTAAATAATGGTGTGAAGTGTCTGCAGCTGCAGAACACTCAGGGGGAAGGGGGAGAGTTTTTATTAATAAAACATAATAAAATCCAAGGAATATTTACCAGCCCCAGCACAGAAGTCTACTCACTCATCCTTTACAGTCACGAGCAGAGAAAAAGAAAGTATCTTACTAACCTGTCAGAAAGTAAACCCACGTGTGAAGGATCCTGTAGGCACGCTTTAACAGGCATTGGTTCAAAAGAATATGAACTACAGCATTCAAACTGCTAGCTGAAAAGTGAACGACTGCCACTGCAGCTAATTCAGAAAAGGAGCAGTTCTAATTATCCAGTACAACACCTGATTTTGCACTGCACTTGCTGTCTGAGTATCTGGGATGCACAGATCCACAATGACCTGGATCTAATTTGACAGACATCGTGACACAGAGGAAAGCAACAGAAGCCAGCGTTTCCTCAGCTGAGCAAGGCCGACGCGCCTTACAGGTCATCCGGGAGCACGATCTATCCCTGTGACACTGGAGCTTAAACGAGCTGTTCAAGCGTCATCTCAAGTCCCAGAGCCACTCTCCATCAAGAGCTGGGTTCTGCTGCAAGCACGTCAATCATAGGTAAACATGCACAGGAATACAGTCTCCAGAGTCAGGATAATTCCTGTCTTTGACTCTTCCAAAAGGAAGAAAACAACCAACTGCCACATAACTGGGATTTTCTCTGTCTCCATTAAGATCAGGAGCAGTTCAACCTCACCAGCGCTCCCTGCATTCAAAAATAAAAAGGGAAAAGAAGGAAATACTGCAACATTCTACTGAAGAGTTGTCCATCCTTCCAAGGACATATGCAACCTATTCCTTTAGGGAAGGAGACAGGACACTATTCTAAACCAAACGAGTTTTCAAATAAAGATCCAAAAAATTTCTCCTACAACCTTGCAATTTTCAGCAGTCACATTATCAGTGTGTTCTGTCCATCTAAGAAATCCTCAAGAAGCCAATGAGAAATCTACAGCTCCTGCCTGCATCAGTAAATAAAGTTCTATCCAAATAGAAACAAACACCTGAAACAGCACTGAGAGCTTAAGAAAATATTTTTTAATTGGGTGGCTTTCTAAGAAAGGTATCTCTACTACTCCAAGTGGTAAGACTTCTTATATACATATAAACGGCCAGGCTGGATGAGGCTTTGAGCAACCTGGTCTAGTGGAAGGTGTCCCTGCCCATGGCAGGGGGGTTGGAACTAGATGGTCTTTAAGGTCCCTTCCAACCCTAACCATTCTGTGATTCTATGAAATATATAGACTTACGTTTGTATAAACATAAAGCTGATGTGGAAGATTAAAAGAGCAAGCCTGATACCTAATCTTTCCATTTTTCAGATCACAACATTTTACTAGCCCACACAAGACAAACCTTTCTAACAGGCACCCTGCAGTGTAGCTGTCCTCACGCTCTACACTTCCCTTACAACTCTCTTCCATTGATTGATTTGACTGTATATCCTTACAACAAACTAGAAGTCAGTGAGGTCCACCTGCATGCTCCACAGGGCACATTTGGCTCCTGGGATGCTTCCAGCCTGGCCCCCACCTCTTTCTACACCGGAGGAGGGGACCAGCTATCCATGCAGTATGCGTTACCCCAACACGGGAGACATAAAAGGCAGCACAAAAGAAACTGTGGGTGCTTTAGGATCCCACTGTTGTGTCCGGGTGGGAGAGGTGAGCTGAAACTAGAAACAAAGTGGCTGCACATACGCGTGCATGATGCTGTCTAGCACGTAAGGGGATGTCCAGCCCCAGCTGCCACAGAAGTCGGACCACGAGCTTTAGGCTGTGATAATTTCAGTCTATGCACCCCGTGATCTGCAACAACACAACAGAGCACCTTGCAAAGAACAACTGCCAATTTTTCCCAGCCCACTGCAAGCAGAACGTGGATTACAGCACTGGGACTATTTCACAGTGGGTACAAACCTTTTTTCCTGAAAGCATCCTGCCTGTTCCAAGTCTGTGCATCTGCTGCCAGATCATCCCACCAGATGAGAATCATTCCCTAGAGTTACATAAAGCAGATCACCCTTGCACAGAAATACATACAGCTATTCACAACAGGGACTCCAGCTGCTGCTCTCACACTCTAGCTCTCTGGGGGTAGTTTGGTCTCTGCATAAGGATTACTCTACTGATTTCCTGCAACTCCAACAGAAATCATAGTAAGGAAGCAGTCTGAAGAGCCAAGTCTTTCTCCTGACCAATGATTTGGCAAGAGGAACACAAGCTTGAGACGTTTTCCCCCACACTACAGCAAAAAGCCCAGAGAAGCTGTGGATGCGCCATCCCTGGCTGTCTTGGAGGCCAGGCCATGCCAGGCTGGATGAGGCTTTGAGCAACCTGGTCTAGTGGAAGGTATCCCTGCCCATGGCAGGGGGGTTGGAACTAGATGGGCTTTAAGGTCCCTTCCAACCCAAACCATCCTGTGATTCTATAATTTTTGATCTCTGCCTGAACTCTTGAAAACCATGATCTCATGGACTGTGACAGAAATGCTCAGAGAGGTACTCAAGATTGGTGCAACTTCACAGCTATCCCAGTATGTAGATACAAAGACCTACTCAGGAGTTGCTAAAAAATTTGCTTTTTTGATCCACAAATAAAATGCACGGTACTCTCCCTAGAAGAGGCAGCATGTGCTAAGCTGCTCTTCATTACAGAACCTACTGACAAGCTTCAACAGAGACAGAACCAACAAAGACAACAATCCATTGAACAAATAAGTTAGGGTTTAGTTAACCCGACAACAAGAAAAATCACAGAAATAAATGTATATATCAGAATGATAATTTTTTTTTTTTAATGCACAAAGAAGTGTATAAAACATCTGTGCAACTGACTGTATGGGTGACAAGCCAGGCTCATAGACCTCATAGAATCATGGAATGGTTTGGGTTGGAAGGGACCTTAAAAGACCATCTAGTTCCAATCCCCCTGCCATGGGCAGGGACACCTTGCACTAGACCAGGTTGCTCAAAGCCGCATCCAGCCTGGCCTTGAACACTTCCAGGGATGGGGCATCCACAGCTTCTCTGGGCAACCTGTTCCAGTGCCTCACCACCCTCTCCAGGAAGAACTTCTTCCTGATATCTAAACCTTCAATTTAAACCCGTTACCCCTTGTCCTGTCACTACAGGCTCTTGTAAAAAGTCCCCCAGCTTCCTTGTAGCCCCTTCAGGCACTGGAAGGGGCTATAAGGTCTCCCCGGAGCCTTCTCTTCTCCAGGCGGAACAAGCCAACTCTCTCAGCCTGTCCCCATAGCAGAGGGGCTCCAGCCCTCGGAGCATCTTCATGGACTCCTCTGGACTCGCTCCAACCGGGCGATATCCTTCTTACATTGAGGGTTCCACAGCTTGATGCAGTACTGCAGTAAAAAAGCGGAGTAGAGGGGCAGAATCACCTCCCTCGACCTGCTGGCCACACTTCTCTGGATACAGCCCAGGATATGGTTGGCTTTCTGGGCTGCCAGCGCACACTGCTGGCTCATGTCCAGCTTTTCGTCCCCCAGTACCTCCAGGCCCTTCTCCTCAGGGCTGCTTTCTATCCACTCTCCTCCCAGCCTGTACTTGTATTTCTAGTTGCTATGTTAAACAATCACCAATGGATGTAGCTGTCTAACTAGCAACATGCAAACACTGCATTACTCGCCATGAACAAGCAACTGAAGTTTCCAATCAAGTCGGTAGTCGGAGAAGTCAGCATCAGCTCAGCAAAGAGGCAGTCAGCAGAACAGCAGCAAACAGAAACTAAAGTCACCCTTGTACTTAAGAAAAGAATTTTTTAGTAATAACACTAAGCTCCTCTTTCAGTAATTAGCCATTTGTATATTGTAATAAACCTACTGTGGAATGCCTATACTAGATGAATGCCTTGGCAAGTCCTGGGATATTAAGCCTGAATATTTACTGTATACATGTACACAGTCTATGTGTACACACACATATAAAAGGCAATAGATATAAAACCATACATTCCACTGAAAGACCACAAGAGTCTTTAAAAAGCAGATTTCTAGTGTTTGTGATTTATTACCAATGTCTAACTACATCAAATCTATCTTACTACATAATGATTCTGTTCAACTGTAATACAGTGGTATCCTGAAAACCTAGATCTGGTTATACATTCATCCTCACTGTTTAGAAATCTGTACAGAAATAGTTCTTTACACACGACAGCTTGTTTGTGCCACATCCACAAATGCAATCTACAGGTGTTCACCCCATGCATTGCATAATATAACCAACAGGCAATACCTTTTACAATTTCTTCACAAAACTAAAGACAAGCCCTTGATGCTGAACACAGAAAAGACCAAAAGTACCTTGTGGCAAGTTTCAAATACTACTACTGTTACAGCTAAATAAATAAGGAAGTTTCATACTCACCTTAACGTTATCTGATTTCAATTCAAAGTCTGTATAAAGCCCTTTCATAAAACCTGTCACTCTAATTACCTTAAAAACAGAAGAAAAGGAGTAAGTTAAGAACACTTGAAACTCCTGTTCGATAAAGCTTGTGTGGCAGCATGAAATATGTTGGCCTTACTTGCTTTCAGAGATGACACCTTGTTTAGAACTATTTCTAGAGCAGGTTCAGAGGGCTGCTGTGCCTCTGAACACCCTCTGGCACAAGGAGGCTTAATCCTTGCTTAAGGCTCAGGCCTCCCTTCCTATTTAATTCCATCTTTAACCTTGATGGTTGGTGAAGCTGGGAGATTCACAATGCAAACACCAACATACGCACTGTAAACACAGCTCTGCATTATTCCCTCGACTTCTTTTAACGTAACTATATATAAAGAAGCAGCTCAAGGAATATAAAAATTACCTGTTTGATTGGTTTTTAAAATGGGATGTGGAAAAACAACGTACTAGCCGATTTCACGTCAGACCAAAAGCACAGCAGACTGAGGATGAGGGTCAGACCCCTCGTCTAGTGTTGACCACCACCAGCTACCCTAAAACCCGTGAGAGTTAACCCAAAACCCCCGAGATGCACTTGCTACTGAGAGCGTCACCCCTGCAGCAGCGCCCTACGGACCACCACCCAGCCCCGCGCAGGCCCCGGGAAGGTGACGGGGCCCCCGGTCCCGGTTTGGAAGGGCTCAGAGACCCTGGGTGTCCCCCTCCCCCAACCCCGGCCGCGCCTGGGGGACCCCCACTCCC